CACACACAGCATTGGATTTCGGTTGAGTTCACTGTGGCTGGGGTACGACTTGCCAATCAGATCATCCCAACCTCCCTATATTTGTCTCCACACCTCCTTGGCGTACTAGTTACTGGTGGCTATGCGACTGCCTGCAAGGACTCAAATGAGAGAACAAATAAAATATTCTGCGACTCGACCAGGTACATGAGTCGCAGGTCATAACGCACAGAGAGGTGCATCACGTGACATCGTTCAGGCCAGAAAGATCCGGTATGGTCATAACCACGCCGACTACAAGTAAGCAAGCCCATACCTTGTGAGTTTGTAACAGGTATTTTTCAAAAGTAGACGTAGCTGAACTTTATCTAAATCGGAGCACCAGGCCAAAAGCAGTCGCCGCGTTCCGTCGAGTAATGAGGCCGGGTCGGAAGACGTCTCCGCCACATGGTTTTGAATAGTTCTGGTCGCCATGGACAGAGCGTACGAAGACGATAGCTTGGCCGTAACAAACAACTATGTCCAACGGCAGGGTGCAGCACCTGTGGCAAGCCTTTTTTTTCACCGCGAGGACCATATCCCGATGACGAGGCAAAGTCAAGACGACCGGAGGTGGGTGTGTGGGAAGTGGCTTGCGAAGCCAAACGGCCCGTCTACGCGTGCCACACAGCTGCTCCATACTACAGTAAGGCAACGACAAGACAGGTCGGAATGGTCAGTCTAGAAGAACGTTAAAATTGGAACCCCGTCATTTTGTCACTGGACCTCTGAGTCCGACGTTGCCCTAGATAAATCCTGGTCTAACGTCTACCCAAGACCCTTTTGCCTAGGGTTGACGCCTGGCTGACTGTAGACGGGAACTGAGCCGAAGGTGATGATCCCCTTTTGACTTGCCTTTGTCAGGGATAATCCTCACAGGCTTTTGCCGTTGGAATTTAAGCTTATGCGGTCTCAGTCATTTGTGCCATGACCTCCTCCCTCTGATAGTAGGAAAGTTCGGTTAGTAGTTCAAAAGTTCACGAGAGAAATTGCTGCTACTCGAGCGGTCCTCAGCATCTAGAAGAATGTGTGCACGTGGAGGTAGCAAAACAATGAACTAGAATTTGCACATAGACTTCCTCGAGATGGTGGACTTGCGCAGTATCTATCGCACTCCCTCCTCCTCCCTCACCTGGGCTCGGTGTGAAGACAGAGTCAAGTAGACCGGAGGCGCGATCGGGCGCAGTGGCTGACAGAGTTTAGTATCCCGTATGCGAGTGTCACTTTGATTGGACCCTAACGGGTCTTTAATAAATTATTATTATTATTAAATGGCAGACCAGGTTTTCACACAAATATGAAAGCGGCAGCTCGAATCCCAGCTGAGTGAGGGTGCTACAGGGGACAACACTAAGGAGTCACTGTGCTGTGACTCTTCGTCTCGAGGGGAGGGTCGAGTTATCTCGTCAGTTGGCAGCCGTCCATGCCAACAGCCTTTGTTAGCGCACCATGATAATTTGACAGCGCGTCAGATTGTTCATTGTGAGGAATCCGCGCTGAATGCCATGGAGACGCAGTCTCCAGACCCGACCTCACTCTCCCGTCTTATTCACAGACACTGCCGTTATCTGGCCGGTCAGCCATCTGATACGTGGATTGGGCGCTGACACCTGGTCTCCTGCCGGTAGATGCGCTTGTGCTCCCGCTAGGTACACAGGTGGTGGGCATGCCTGCCTAGTTCTCCTCGTCACTCTGGCCGCTGTTGAGGTGTTGCTGTTGTGGGCGAAAAATCCTGGTGGTTTGCTGTGTGGACCAGGGGATGTAGTGGCACGCCTAGATGCGGCTCCGGCCGCGCCAACCACCTGCGCCTTCCCCTCACCTCCAGTCTTCTTGACTCTGTCTTAACATCGAATCCAGGTGTGGAATGGAGAGGAGAGAGAGAGAGTGCGGTAGATGCTGCGTAAGTCCACCATGACTTTAAACTAATTAACGCTCAAGTCACCGTTCCTGCTTCGCCTTCTTGTGGAGCACACGGTGGACATCGTCGAACTCCACAGTCGGACTGGGCGCAAGTGGCTGACAGATCTAAACAGCCCGTCCGCGCGTCTCACACACGCGCTGTCCTCGCGCTACACACCAGGTTTCTCCACAGCGTGGTGGGCGACGTGGATCTCACAGGCATGATGGTGCCATAGAGGGTCACGGTAAGAAGCCACTGAGCCTAACTACCAGTCGACTACTCCACACAGCCTGACACGGGACTGACTACAAGGTCTGAGTTGTGCAGTCAACTGGCAACTTGCCGGACCACGGCATTTGTCATGTGTTGTGATATATTCAGTGTGTAAGAAATGCCTGAAGTGCCGTGGTGACGGAATTGGTCTCACTCTCTCGTGCACCAATCGGTTTTCCGCGTTAATCAACTAACTGACGCCGAGAGCCGGCGCAGTAGCTGACGAACCTAAAAACGGTCCGTCTGCGTGTGCCACACAAACACGACCAGGCTCCCACACGACATACCAGGTCTTCGCACGGACGGCGACCGGTGGAACACAGAAGACGGTGATAAGCTATTTCATCCTGTATGGAGAAGGTCTTGGGGCTTTTGGTAGCCGTCTGGAAAACAGGGCAGCCATCATAACCGGTCTGGCGCCATTGTTCAAGACCTGGCTGCCTCAAGGTCGTCCACCCTTTTGCAGTGAGTCGTTCCAGATGCGCTGGCCTGAAGTCACACGACCGACAGTTCGGGTATACCTGTGTCCGCACAGTCGCAGCTGCCCAGAAGGCCACACCCCCCCTGCAACCACAACCAAAGCCGCTAGGACGCCACCCCTCGGCAAATGTAACACACACTGACTGGACACCACTTGATCTTGGCTCACGAACCCACAAAAGCGGCTGCCACCACTGTCTTAGTGACTCTCAGGCATGACTGGACGCAGTCAAAACCAGCCCTGGCTTCGCCAGTGGCCACTGCCGCCTGAGAGGACAACTCCGGGTTCTGTGCACAATAAACCCCTCATTCTGGTGCCGCCGGTCTTCTCCTTCCAATCTGGGATTTGACTTGATAATTGTAGCTCACAGACTACAGACATTCTCACTGCTGTGCCACTACACCCGCAAGGCCTCCTTGTTGGAATACTGTCGCATCTGAGTTGTGGGACGCTCTAGAAACCCCCTGAGTTCTGGCTCACGAGACAGGGGGACGGGGGCGTTCGAACTAGCACCACAGCATGCCAATTCAAGATTTGAGGATTGCACCGAACGGCGTGTGAGAGCTTAATGGATGATGAGAAACAATGGACATTTCATAATATTACCCGTGATATTTGAACAGGTGGTTGACTTGCCGGCTAGATCACAGTTGGTAGCCAGGAATGGGGAAGCGAACGGCGACCTTAACCCTAATCCTAACCTCAACCTTAGACGTTAACCGTTAACCCCAACGGCAACCCTAACTCTAACCGAAATCGTAAAAGTAACCGCAGCCCTTAGACATAGCTGTACCTGCAAAACCTAACCGTTATACTGAAACCTAATTGTACGCTCAAACTCTAATCGTAACCCGAAAACCTAAGCCTAAAGGCATAACCTTAACCCGAAAATAGGAAACCGTTAACCGGTACCCTAATCCTAACCTCAAACGTAAACCGGAAGCCAAATGGATCAGATGTGATTATAAAGCCTCATAAAATAGCCCCAGTAGACAACCCTCCCCCACCTGTAATACTGGTCCTAGCTACCAACTGCGATCTAGCCGATTTGCCATATCAGCGTCCAGTAAAACCCAAGGCTAATACCGCTGCAGGATTCGCCATCGCTGGCTTGTCAGACCCCGGAAGGGGGTCTGCTCGGCACGAAAGTTACCTTCACCAAAGCTAGTCTCACTATCTTCCACCTGTGCACACGTCGAGTAACCGACAGGCACCGCCTGTCCGGAATGACGATGTGTATGTAAACTGGGGTCAAGAGGGTAACCCAAACGCCATCATGCATTCCTCAACTTCAATCAAATAGTCCTTAATAGTCGAACAGTCAAAAAATACGCAATCTCGAAGTGGAGCTCCATAAATACTGGTCAACCGGACTAAACGTGCAGATCCAGAAAGAATGTCTAGTTTGACCCAATGCCATTCGCTGCCCCGCCATGGAAGCAGCACGGTCCTTGATGTGCATTCTGACCGTTCAAGTCCAAGATCTAGCAAAAAACCGACTTTGGCTTGGTTTAAACAGATACGCACGAAATTGATGCTGTTGGACACAAATGGCTCTAAAGTAAGTGCCTCGGGTGGTCTAACGAACCAGTCAATTCGAAAATGTGGCCGGTTAAACGCAAAATGAGCGCTTATTAAAGGCCTCAACAGCACCAACCTGCGCACTTTCTGAATCCCAGAGACATGCGATGTCTGCTTCAAACAACTCTCAGACCGCGACCCAAGAATACCGCCTTGAGAGCAGTAGAAAAGAATAGAAAATTGATTGGTCGGACTTTACTAATTCCGAACAGATCAAGAGGCCTAATCACATGGCAGTCTAGAAAAGCATACTCCAGCAAGCAAATTCACACATACACACAAAGATCGGTGAGCGTAGAGGCAATGCAGCGGACTGAAAAAGGGAGACCTCATTGTCCTTTTTCGTGTCTGTGAAGAGCCGATTTAAAAAGTAGCTACTACTAGGCATTAGGACAGTAGAAGAAAGCCTAAGTGAATAAACATGCACAAGTTTGCATCGGGCCAAAAGAGGCGAAGTAGGTCAGAAGAAGAAATCACAGACAATGCCAATTGGCGATAGATAACCATACGTATTTGTTGTTGCCACGACGTCCCCGAGGTCAACTGTTTGCTTGAAAGGGTAAAGAGGATGGGGGGAGGACGGTGACAGCGATAATGAGGACAAAGTAAATGCAGTGGTGGCGCAATGCCAGTTGGTCAATGGGAGGGGGGGAGGGAGTCACAGCATATGCGCCAGGCTGGCAAGGGTTGAAGGCAAAAATAGGAGGGAATCGAGTGGGTAATATCCAATCAGATACTGGTCGCTTCTTAAGTGGGGGTTGCTGCGCCGGGGGTAGCAGGCGTCGTCGTCGCGGTCGCCGATGAGGATTCGGAGACTGCGTGGGCGGTAACGCGCTTGCTAGAGGGCTTGGAGGAGACTGAGGGCGGAAAGAAGATCTCCAAAACATCACCATCCTCGGGATGGTAGGTGTAAAGCAGGCGCGAGGGTGTCTTTAACTCCTCCGGTCCGAGAGCACCAACCATGGCCTGGTCCAAGTAGTAGAGACGGGCGTGCTTACTGTTTTTTTCATCGAGGCCAAATAGATGGCAGATTTCCTGTTTCACTTTCTGAGTGGACTTCCGAAGGCAGAAATTGTGCCATTTCTATGCAAAGAGTTGAAAAAAACAGGCGAATGATGCAGGGGAAAAAGTGCACGTAGGGGGATGCAACGACATAGAGAGAAGTGGAGGCCTACTTCTTGATCACCAAGTCGGACGCACAGTCGGACGAAGCGCTTTGGTGAAAGATCGATGACCGCAAGTGGTTCAACCTTTCCATGTTGGTTTTCCAGCTCCCAATAACTAAGGAAGAAATGGACAGACAGTTGTCTGCTTAAGCGTCGGAGAAGACAGGACTGCTGCGTGTCGGCAGAGTCAGGAATAGAAATTATAATTATAATTCATGGTTACTCTTATCATGAAAGTAAGCTTGTATTTAGCAAAAAACACGCCTCTGCACATGGCTTTATCTCAAATGACTTACCGGTTAGGACGCTGGTCACTGCTTAGCTGACCAAAACGACGAACGAAATCGCGCTCCGCCCGTTCTCTTTCCTCAGCACTGATCAGAGTGTTATTGTAGGACGTAAGGCCAGGCATTCTGGCAATGACCTCGTTCCTTACCATGTCGGCGTCAGAGTCCTGTGCAATAGAAAGTTCCAAGGAACTGTTAGAAAATCCCAGGTCATGAAATCAGATGACTCTATTTGGTAGTTTTATCAGGATCGTCAAGTTTTATCCGAAGGTGAAACTAATACGTGACCGAGACATAAAACTTAAAGTTTGGCAAGAAGAGTTATCAAGTAAACGATTTATTTCCATATGACATCGCGTTTCAGTAATATTCCACCTAATCCTTAATAGATAACCCAGGCCAGATGAGACCGAGTTGAGTAGTCGTCGATTCCATCCACCCCCAGACGGTCAAAATTCACCTCATGGAAGAGGAACGTCAATAAATGGTCAATGAAGGGGTTTTAAAGGAAAGATGGATTCGCCTGTATTTTAAAGCCTATGACAAGAGTGCACACAAGTGCGAGACTTCAAACGAATGGGCTATCGCACTGTAGGCCGACCTCACTTCTTTCAAATATATTTTTGATCAGAGTGTTCCAGGTCCAAAGGGTGGGGGGGGGGAAATATCAGTCAAAGTGAACAAGCTTGCACATGGGGAGATGAGCACACCGAAATAGTCTTTACAGACTGACATTTGAAAAGGCTCAGTGAAAAGACGCAACATATTCATGACCCATACTATTTGAATGTCTACAGTATGTCCTACAAAGTAGGTGCAGGACGTTGATTTGCGCGCAAATTAGGTTCTGGTAAGGCTTACTTGAGCAGCATCTACCGCACTCCCTCTCCCCAACTCACCTGGTTCCGGTGGCATGAAAATGTCAGGACGAACGGGGGGAGGTTCGGGCAGAGTGGCTGACAAGGTTAAGCAGTCCATCTACACGTGCCACACACGAGCTGGGGCCACAAAACGTATCAGGCCTTCCAGAGGGCGGCTAGGACCTTGCCTGACTGAGAGTGCCATTGAAGCTACGTAAAGAAGGACTTTCAGTCCTGAATCGAACTAAATTATCCCATCAGTTGGTGAACCTCCAAGCCACGGCCCTTAGCACGTGCGATCTATTATTAGTGAGGAACGCGATAATGTGCCGTGAGGATTCATTCCTCAGGGTCGGCCCCACTCCCTCTTCCCTTCGTCCACTAACCAGTCGACTGTTCGATTCGGTCAAGCAGCCGGTGTTACCTACTGGGCACAGTGACTGACGCAGTGTGAAGGCTTAAATCTGGGCGTGCCACCAAACCGCCCATGTATGTATGTGAGCTGGCGCGGGCTATGCGTAGCCCAAATAACGTATGCCGCTCGCCATTCCGACTCCCATTTTGGTCAACCACATCTACAGCGCAGCCTATTGTGGGAGTCAGTACGGAGACCCATTTCCTTCCTGATATACGCAAACAATCATGAAAAACACCTGGACTGCACAACAGCAGTGACTGTAACGGATGTCGCGCGCAGAGCTGCGTTGCCCGTAGGCCAGCCAAAGAAATTGTCAAGTCACTGGCTTCAGCGATTAAAAAACAATAAGTACATCTTATTCAGTCTAGCCAGACGCGTATATAAGTGCCTATTATTCCAACAATACAGTCCAACATGAGGCAGAATCACAGAAGCATCTTGCTATGGTGATGTCGAGTTTCTTAAAGCCATCTACTCCTTACTCGAAGAGGACGAAAACAGCAATGTCCGTGCCGCATCCCACTACGGGGCCATCGCGGATTCTGACGAATTACTCCTCTCCAAGAGCTTCGCAGCGATTGTGAGACAGCATCTGGAGCATTCGATCTGAGTCCAAGATAAAAATCCACAGAAGAAGGGCCACCAAAGCGTTGCCCGTTGCCACTTAGTCTTTTCACACGAGCGATAAGGTTGAGAATTCAGAATGACAGCAAGATCAAATTGGCTCGTTGCCTCCGAATGAACAGAAACAATTGTTTTTAGTTTGCCGTGACGGTGAATCGCCTCGTTTGGTTCGAGATGAGATTAACATATCCGACCAACTTTGGTGGCGATGTTCGGAGATAACCAACGCGTTCCGGCCAGCCCACATTCGTAAAAGTGAAAAGGGGCGCACAGCAGACCGGCGACGATACGGATCTCAAGGCGACTACCTCAGCCCTTCCGAAGACTCCTCGAGCTGCATCAATCCAGTCCTGTTCGCTCGAAAGACGCGCCCGCCTCTCTACTTCGAAGGGTGTCCAGATGCAGGCGCAGATCACCCCCATCGAGAATACAGGAGTCGCGATGCTGGTGGTCAGGAGAAGATAAATAGCAGGCCCGCTGACGACCGCCACAAGTGACGAGGACCAGCGTTTTCTGAGGAGTGCGTCGTGGTGACTCACATGGAGCTGCGGGCTGTTCGGGCACGTCGCTGCTGCAAGAACACGTGCCCGCGTCAATTGGCTGTCTTACCGCTGCTTCTGATTGCGTGCCTTGTGCAGGCATGCTGGCTGTAGTTCATGCCAGTCACTCGGCCCTCTCAGCGCTCGATGACAATCGCTTGTGCTCTCTTTCTCTCTCTCTCTCTCAGCCAACAAAGGCTGTCCTCCCGGCCCTGCCGACCTGACTCCTGGGCCTACATGGTGGTATTTTATTGAATCATACACTGCAGTGACTCAATCAGGAATGGGCGCATACCGATCTATTGGCTTCTCGAAGCAAACAAGCTCCGTATGGGTGGCAAAGATCACGAACAGGCGACCAAGTGTCAGGCCGAAGTCGGCCAAGTCATAATAGCAGCGATGGGGACGACAGAGAATGCGGGTAGATTGATATAGTACTGTTTCGGGCTTACTGTGCCTTCATTCAGCCAATCATAACCCTGACCAACAGCAGCGGGGACCAGATGCACAAACATGCGCACAGACGTACCTGGCTGCTGGCCAGGGTTATGATTGGCTGAATAAAGGCAAAATAAGCCCGAAACAGTACTGCATCAATCTACCCGCATTCTCTGTCGTCCCTCCTGACTACTATAGTGACTGTTTGCAGGCTACTTCCAAGGACATAAGGACGAAAAACTGGTCGACAAGTTAGGAACTGAAGATTTGCGATTTGCGAACGCCTCCATTCTCATACGCAAAGATCATTTTCGCTCATTCGACGGGGCCAACGCTTGAAGCTGTATTAAAATTACTAAAATCGCAACTATCTCACTACCAGTAGCAAATGACGCTGAAAGATGTAGGATTGTCCACCCCGGGAGGGGGATTTCCGAGGCGTGTAGCTCACTCGCTCTTGACAACTCAACGTGGGCGGATGTGATTATGTAGCCCCACCTGATGTAAACAAACCCCGGTCACCTATAATACGGGACCGTTAGTACTAGGGGTTTTGGTAGATGGGACCGGAGAACGCACAGGCGACGAGGTCAAGTAGTTGTATGCAAAAGAAGGGCTATTGGGAAGGCGCGTTTGTACTTTGAATGATTGCGAAATAGTTGCGTTAACCCCTAACCGTAACCATTAACCCCAACCCCAACAGCATTGTGTCCATCAGGTGGGGCTACCAGACCATATTTTACCCTCAATGTGCTTTGGGGGCAAGTGTGGGAACAATGATTGCTCTGGCGTTGGGCTGTTGCCCACGTATGCGGCATGCATGCCGTTCCTTCGCTCCGTACAAAAAACGCTTTGGCAGATTGCACCCTGCATAGACAACAATTGCCACAGAGACCATATTAGGAGGGAGCCATTGAACCCTGATTCTCGATCAGAAGGATTACTGATCGGTTCCGTTAGTTGACGGTGGCTCATATCCATCACTCTGAGCACGTCACAGTGTTTCGGCTAGTCGTCTCCACCCGTCTCTTTATCATCATGTGCCAGTGTCAAGTCTGAGTCGGGTCGACCGGATGTGGGATCGTCGAACGCGGTGGAAAGTCTTCGTCTCAGGTCTGCCACGGGCCCCCTTGGCTGTGACATCGTCAGTATCAGCAGGAGAGACTTTGTGAACTCCTGCGTCCGGTCCCACCTCCCGTCGTCGCGACTCAGTTTTACCACCGAGCCCAGGATGGTGAGGGGGAGAGAGTGCAGAAGTTGCTGCGCAAGTCCGCTATCACCAGAGGCCGATCCGCGTGCAACTCACCAGTGCGGCGTCCAATCCGCGGGGCACACGGTAAACATCATTGTCCGTGACGGTCGACCCAACACCTCCACCAAGGGCAGGTGATTTACATCCACAGAGGGGGAAAGCGTTGGCAAAATCGACAAGACTCACCTTAAAGAGGGGGAGAGCGTTGCCTAGTTTGAGCGAGAGCAGAGCTGGCATACAGTAGTTGAGAGCATCCACGGAGTCCCAGGAGTCGATTTCCGTCTCAGTGAGATTGAGACTTGTCACATTGTAGAAACATTTGGCTGTGCTCGCGTCACTGGGGTCGGGTTTTGTGACGGAGGTGAGCGGGTTGCCCAGCAGCACCAGATACTGCAGAGCCGGGAAGTGTCTGCCAAGGCAGCAGACTGCTGACCAGTTGGCGAGACGATTATCACTGAAGAAGAGGTGTGTCAGCTGGGGGAAGGTGCTGGGACCGTTGGAAATGGAGTCCTCCTCGCAGCAGCAACGATCAAAATCGTTCAAGGCAGCATGCAGCGTGTGGAGACTAAAGATAACCAAAAGGATCAAAGTTAACATGACGGTGACTGGGCAAAGGCAAAAGTCAGGTTCTCAGGCAAACGAAAAGGTGAAAGCCTGAAGAGGGGTTAAAGGCTAGGTGATGCCGTGTAGTTGCCAGGATCAGAGAATGCCATGCGACGCAGCAAGGGGCTGTTCAACTCTTCGATCTCCCGATCCTCAGTATGCAACAAAGAATTGGTACACCTGTTTCTCTCTCGCACTTCATTCTTGTAAATACCGGAGGGAGGTGCGGAACGGGTCCTCCAGATCATCACTGTGAGTGGTACATTTATAATAGAGCCAGCTTGTGATCTGGTGGGAGTTATGGGTGAAGTTGGGGCAGGGATGATTTACTATGCGTATTGCTACGCACGCTGTAGACCATTCCCGGTTGACAGCCTCCAAACAGCGATGACAACTCCCATCGGCACGCCCAAGGATACCAAAAAGCTGTTATCCACGAGCGGATTAAGTTACCAGTCAGGGTGTGAACGGCTTAAACTGATGGATCACGCGTGCAATCGGATTGGCTCGAGAACAAGCTGCCGAAAAGGATCATTTACCCATTCGTCTTCCATCTGTCAAAACGCGGTTATTTCGCGACATGTGTAATTGTTATGAATAAGAGCTCGCATCGAAGTTTGGACTTGGAATGAAGTTGGAAATTAGATCCGCACTTGGGCGTCCAGAAAATTGAAAAAAAACATTAGAACTCCGTGAACTGAATACGGTCTAGGCTCGCCAGGCAGGATAGTTTCTGTTTGAACGATCGGGAAGTTAGTTCCCAATATCGGCAACATGAAACGACTACTGAGGTCAGTCTGAAGTCCGCACGGACAAAGCAACGCAAAAGTCGGTCGTGTACTTCGTCCCCTCCTGAGTTCTCTACGGCCTTAGGCTGAAAGCCCGACAGAGATACGTCAATGCAAACTGTTACGACCTCTGGTGGCGGAAAAATGAGTGGACCAATCATAAATAACTGCATGCATAATGTGCACAATTGCCACATCCCGTGACGTCTAAGACAGGTTCGTGACTTCGCAGACCAGACAGGATGCAGACCTAGACAGGATGCAGGCCTAGACAGGATGCTCAGGGATTTCATTCGCTGGGACACAAGCAGAAAAACCGAGGCATTATTTCACTTACGCAAACGCTCATGACTGCAAGGGACGGAAAAGCCTGCTGATATTACAAGAAGTGATTTAAAAGAACAAAAGTCCGGACTGCGAGAAGTTAGGTTTACGGCCATGGGCTACTGCAAGCAAGGTCTATGAGCCGCACCAGACATGCCATTCAGACACTAACCCATTTAATAGCCGCGCAAACCTACCGTTCGCAAATTGGCATTATACGACAGTTCGACCGTCGTTGCCGACGATGTCCACCGTGTGCGCCACAGCTAGGTGGGAGCAGGTACGGCGACTTGTCCGTGATTCAGTCTATAGTGAGCGCAGACTTGCGCAGCATCTGCCGCACCCCCTTATCCTCAGCCTGGTGTCAAGCCAGAGTACAGAAGGCCGGAGGTGGAGGAGGGTGCAGGTAGCCGCCCCTAGGCGTGTCGGCACACCCGACAATGAACTCGCTCAGGGGGTCCGGACGCCGGGCAAATAAACCCACTTATCCGGAGACCAGACTCTCATACTCTAGTATTTTCGCAGAAGTTGCGGGTATTTGAAATCGATTCTATGTAACTAATGTAAAACAGACCAAAGTAGAAAGACCTGTCCGAGGACACATGCTTGAGTAATGAGCATGGCGCAAGCACACCTCGCAGCGGTCGAGCGAGGCTGATATTTTTTGTCCTCGAGAACATGCCGCTTGGTCGCGGGGCGAGCGATACCCAACGGGACAGGAAAGGGGGGCGACGCAACCAAGACTTTAGACGCCAACCGAAACCCCGGGATGTCTTCTGGCCGCTGTGCCTGGGCGTAAAAAGCAATTTAGCGGCGGGAGAACCGTAGTTTGGAAAGAGAACGAGCTCCAATTGTCCGTCACAGGTTCCAGAAGTAGACTTAGCGACAGATGAGGTCTGACATATTCATAACCGCGTAGACGACAGGCTGTTGTGCCAGGAGTCAACTCTGGTCCTGACTCAACTGCACTCGATTGTGACTTTCGCCGTCAGTTGCAGCAAGGCAGGGGACACCATGAGGCCCAAAAATTGGGGTTTCGAGCTGGTTGTCGATCCTACGAGATTGAATAAACACAATGAGTGGCCTCCTCGAAGTCGCCTATGGTCCCCGCGATTGATGGCTGTCAGGTTGTTAAGATTAGACGGTAAAAATCGGGGGATGGCACCCAAAAATCCGTTACCTAGAAATAATACCTTTAACAGTGGACTCAAACGCCTTCAGGCTATATTAGCGGCTGCAGGCCTACTTTCACGCACTACTTGGACTTTCCCCGACTGCCTAACATGGGCTGGCCGAACGAAGATTGCAGGAGGTTACATGGACGATGGTCGCTGTTATCCAACCGTCCCCATCGTTACACACGTACACCTAAATATAGGGCATACGTTCGCATTATGGCAGTTTATTACACAACAAAATCACTTTTCAATAGGATACGTCTGCACAACATGGGACAGGAACAGTTCCCAGGCATCTGTCAAAGATATGGCATTGAGGCCAAACCAAAGACGATACTGTACTTCGTCTATGTGAGCTCACACAGCTCGACCACATACAGGGCCTCTCTCGTGGAGTTTCCTTTTCAGTCTACTCCAGTATGCCTCAATGGCATTGGTGTGCCGTCCGGTGGTAGGGTCCTTGAAGTTCTTTGAGTGGTTAACTGAGAAATGTAGATAACCTTCTGAGGGAAGAGGATTATACGCCTTCCATCCGTTACCACTATAATGTCTTTGGCGACCCATTTTGTAATAACGGAACGGAGAGCGGGCAAACTTCGATCATTCACCTGTTCAAATAAGCCTTTCCGTCGGCTAGTATCATACATCCCGACCAGCCACCATCCATAAAACCCCTATTACCACCTGTCCCGTAAGATAGGCTGCTATGGTTAGGCGGATTTTTTTGGGTGCCATCTCTCGATTGTCATCGGTTAGACAATTTAAAACATGTTGCGGTAAAGTTGTTGCGAAACAGAAAGAATAAGAACGACATCCTCAACCAAACCGACACTGCTCGCAGAGTTTTTCAAAGCTCTCGGCCCATATGAATCACTCGTAATACTTCAGTTGCCACAGAGATTCGCGATCCGTCCGCAACTCCGCCTTTACAACTGAATCCTAATGATGCATGCAGATGAACAGAAATTGGAGGATTTGGACCAAATTTGCCTGAGAACCATCCTTCGAGCAGAGTAATCAGGAATCGTTCAAAAATCGAGGCAATTCGAACTCGATGCGACAAATTCGCCGGGACATATTAAGTTAAACACGTTCTAAGTCGTTCTCCATAGGCGTTCAGTGCTGCATTATATTGAACTCTGCCGTTTAACTGCAGCTTAACGTCAAACCTCCTCCTTAAGCTTACGGCGCCCGGTCTTCTCGACTGGAGAGGAGAGCGAGCGAAACTCTCCAGGTGAGTGCTTGCTGATCGTCATTTGTGAAGCAATATTTGCGACACGACTGAGAGTGGTTAGATTTGACAGGAACACAGTCGTAAAAAGCACTAACGGCTCATCCGTTGAGTTTTTTTCCCTGAAGACGCGATAATTCAGGGATCGTGCTCGACAAAGGCGACCAGATGAGAAAACTTCAGGGTGAGTTGAATTACAGTGCAGGAAGCCCGGGCAGCATTGAACTTACGTCCCCTCCCAAAACCAATGTCGCCCCAGTTGCAAGAAAAAAAAAACAAAAAATAGCTGGAAATCAACCAGGACGCAGTAGTTTGCCAGAAGTCTTACTCCCACTCTACGCGCGCTACACACACGCAGCGGTTTCCCCTCCGAAAATGAAGCAGACCTCGTTTGGACAGGTCGATAGAGCGACAACGCACCCATTCGAAGCAGGGGAATACGAATGTAACAAAGCAGACGCAGGGGCGACGAACAAAAGGTCATTCATTTGACGTCACCCAACTTCTGTATAGGTGAGACAACTAAATATAGTGCACCCTACCCACGAGGAGTTGTAACCCCGGAGAACAGCCAGTAAATGTAACTCGAAAAATGCCAACGGGAATGTCACGGGCTTGCTATCGCTGTCTTTTACTTGCACTCCCCCCGAGAATGTACCTTAGACATTTGTGGTTCCCGTAGAATCTCATTTTCAGGAGGATTTATATGATAGTTTGTCTTGAGAGAAGAGCTCAACTCTGGGACCAGACAGGTTTCCACATATACCGATGATTCAACAGTAGACAGGTTATGTCTACTGTTGATCTGTCTGGGTTTTCATGCTGTGAGTTCATCGTGGTGCAGATTTCTTCAGACGGGAACTGAACAACGTGCGAGAATCCCAGAAAAATCAATAGTGTTTCACCAGCCTAGACAGAGAATAGGACATTCTTGCTGCGTTTGCTTTGGAGCATTGATCGGTCAAAAAAGAGACTCTCGCTCTCTTTCGACATCTAAAACATCATCTAGTCCTCATACAAATGACATGGTATACGGGCATCATTTGCGGTGTCTTTTAATAAGCCCCCTTCGTTCAAGGAAGTATGAACAATTTTTAGCTGTTAGCATGAAGGTTAAATTTAAATGGGCTGGTAACCAGAGTGTTGCTTAAATTGCAGTGAGTTAATCGCGGAACAACTACGTGCTGGCCAATCGAAACTCCTGGTTGCATTTTAGACTGACGAGGTGAAACCGAGAGGTCCTTTTGAGGCCGAAGTCCATCAGTGAGGACAAGGGGAAGAGAGGTAGATGTGGTCAATAGGGTGGCAAAATTCTACTGAAGGCCGCCTGTTGACCCGGCAATTAGCAATAATAGGAGAGGAAGGAGCGGGCGGACAATTCCTTTTGCTGTCAGGTTTATCCTTTAAGGATGAAAAGGGCAGTCAGACACACACACACGCACGCACGCGTGAGGCAAGCTAGCTTTTACTGAGGTGTTGTGAGTTGCTTTTATTGTTAGCTAAAAAAGGTAAACAACTGAACAAACTAACCCCTAACTCCCGGTGCTGCATTACCAAGTTCATAAGAATCCATCGTAAATGTACAGAGTATTCATTTCATTGTCAGGTTTACAGTAGGTGTGTTAACTCATGAAACATTAACCGAAATTCTGAAATGCGTTTTCGTTTCGAAGACTACTGAAGTGAGATTCTAATATTAATCATCGTGCAACTCAATTCTATAACGCATCAGTTACCTCGAAATGCCGGCTTTAGAACGAACTTCTTTCCAGCCGCATGCAAAAACCGCACTCTTTAAACAATGGCTACTTAAGTAGCATGATTTTTTCTCGTTGGCTTTCGATGCCCCTAAAAATTCAACTATATTTCATGGAAAACATGCACAAAAACATCCGTTATTTTACTCAATCAGTAGACAATTACGTCTTCTTCCAATTTAATACTCAAAGGAAGGGTATAATTTGGGTTGAAAAAAGGTTTCCAATTAGAGATTTTTTTATACTGTGAAATGGGAATTCGTAAAACGCCATGTCTCTGCATTTACCAATGTGGGTTGTAAAATTAACAAAATGGCTCAAATGTACTGCTTAATTTTATGAATCCCATAAGGTCTACTTCTAATACCGTAGAGAAATGTATGGTTTTCCGTACGCGGAAAATATACGACCTGCAGTTTGAAAACCCTGAATACAGTTGTAACGGTGGGTCGGGTTCAAAATTACTCGGGAATTAGAAGACCTTTTTAAAATCGAATTGTACCCTTCCTTCGAGCATAAAATTGGAACAAGACGTCATTTTCTACTGAGGGAGTAAAAGAACGAATATTTTTATGCATGCTTTCCATGAAATATAATTAAATTTTTAAGGGTATCGAAAATCAACGATAAAAATCTATGCTACTTAAGTAGCCATTTTTCACAGAGCGTGGTCTTTGCACGTAGCTCGAGAGAAGTTCCTTCGAAAGCCGGCATTTCGACGTAACGGAATTATTATAGAATTATGTTGCACAGTGATTAATACTAAAATCCTAGTTATGTAATCATTTCGAAACAAAAATGCATTTCAGAATTTCGGTTAACATCTCATGAGTTAAGACACCCACTGTAAGTATTCGGCAAGTCAGCCCCGCGGAATGACTACGTGCTGGCTAATCGAAACTCCTGGTTGCATTTTAGACTGACGAGGTGAAGCCGAGAGGTCTTTTTGAGGCGGAAATCCATCAGTGAGGACAAGGGGAAGAGAGGTGGATGTGTTCAATAGGGTGGCAAAATTTTACTGTAGACTGCATGTTAGCCCGGCGGTTAGCAACAATAGGAGGGGAAGGAGGGGGCGGACAATCATTTTTGCTGCCAGAAAAAGTAAACAACTGAACCAACCAACTCTTAATGCCCGGTGCTGTATTACTCAAGTTCATAAGAATTCATCTGAAATGCACAGATTACCCATTCCATTGTGAGATTTAAGTAGTCGGCAAGCCAAGCCCAGCCGGATGCCACGCAAAAACAGGACATATGTCCGTAACTGTTTAGACAGAAGTGTCCACTTCCTGACTGTGCCGCTATTGTGGAGCAGAAAATTATCCCTCTCTGGACTACTAACTCTAAAAAGGTCCAACAGGGATTGCAGTCCCCCCGGGTCCAATGAGATGGTTGGGCCGCTGCCCAGCGAGCAATGGCAACATGGGGCTGTTTAGTGATCATACATTTGTCCACCCCTCAGGTTGACGACGGCTAATAAATCAGTAATGGCCAATCCAGTCTCTCTTGTCTTCGTCGAAACTCTGTTCTATGTATATATTCCTGGTCTTTATGCGATGGGCCTCAAGTCCCAACGCGACGAGCAGATCCGTAATCTGATTGGTCAACTCACTTTCCAATCTCAGCCTATAGGACAAGGGGCCCGCGAGTCTGTACATTTCCCAACCAGCCCTCGTTGAAGGCTGTCGTAACTGTTTACCACGTGTGGACTCGCTGGGTAGTTTGTTCCATGTGTGTTACGTCAAGAGCTTGACGGAAAACTCAGTCATAAAATTCACAAAAACCAAGATCCTCCGAGGGCTCAGCCACACATGACGTATTTTTTTGTGGAGAGAGGAAGCGACAGTGACGGCGATGTTTTTGTGGTTGTTTACTTGCGACTCGCGGAAAGTACACGCTCGGTTCGTTTGCCCTGTAAAAGGTGGCTGCTGCCCAGCGAATTAATTGGCTCTACTGACCTTGAACTGGGGAGAAGTGCACAAAGAGGGTCAACTACTTGTTTTGCTAGATTCGCCTGGGTAAAAGGCTAACAACTCGAAAAGAAACCTTCAGAGCTGCTGGTCTTGACGACCTATATGCAGCAGAAAGTAGAAAGGGACACTGTCTTTCAGTAAACTTTCATATCTAGTATTTCGAAGCAGTTGTGTTACGATTGTAGACTATTTATTATTGGCTTTAAGCTAGGATGAATAACTAAAATCCCATAACGGCAGTTGCTCCATTGACTTCCGCGAATTGCACCACCCTTCAAACAGCCCCAAAACACCTTGCAGCGATTCAAGAGCCCATTTTGCCGCTGAAGTGCAAAGCAAGAAGCAACAGTTAGCACATTGGACGCCCTCAAGGTCGTAGCAGTTGCAACTGTCAGCTGTGCATGACCTTGAGGAGGAGAAAACATCTACCCTTCACGAATCTAGGTCGACTGATCTGTTCATAAAAAGGGACTGTTTCAGGTATGTACGTGACTAAAAAAAGTCGGGAGTACACGTGACTTATGCGAAGAAGAACCTGCCTAATCAAAAGAACAATTTGATCTTTTAACAGGTAGAAAATTTTGACCTTGAATAGCCATAAAACGTGTCCTATTTCGCACAGTCCGCCATTAGGAATATTCCGGTTGATAAAACTACGAACTCTCATATTTGTCGGTCACAGATCTTACTTATGACTAAGTGGGTTACTAACTCCACGAAAGGAGATAATTCATCCGCCGAGGATGAAGTCTAGTTCGAAGACAAACTGTCAGCGATCGGAATTTGTCTCGAGGTAAAATTGGATGGCACTGAACAAGAGTATGAGCCGGCTCCACAAATTTGACAGCCGAGATGTTGACACATCCAAAGAGGAGAAAATGACATAATGAACGGTAGTTGCTCTTGAGATGGCGGATTGTACAGCATGGATTGAAGCTGTTATTCAGGCGAATCTTTGCAAAAATAGGCGGAAAGATTAAGAGCTCCAGGAAATAAAATGTGGTGCTAAATTTTAGACGCATGGATACATACAGTCAATGACCGCTCTCATGAAAAGCTACCCGAGATTTTAAAGTGCGCTTTAGATTTGGAAGGAATACTTAAGTGTACTCATTCGGTAGAAAATCACGTCTTCTTTAAAATTTATACTCGGATATAAGGTATGTTTCGCTTTTAATGAAGTTTATAATTGAATTTTTTAAAACCGTGCAATGTCAATTTGCATAGCATCGTGTCTGTCCGTTTAGCAATACTCCTAGTCAAGTATACAACATAGTCCGTACGCACTGCAGCATCCTATGAGCCTTATATGGTATTTTTTTAAATGGCATCAAGGCATGTATATTTTTCCCCACAAGTATATGGTCTGCAGACCGAAAACCCTAAACGAAAATGCAATGGCAGATCGAGTTCAAGATTATTCGGGAATTGAAAGCTTTTTTAAACCTAAAGATACTCTCTTTCAGTACGTGACTCGAAGAAGGAGTGATTTGCCACCAACTGAGTACAAGAATGAATATTTTTGAGCATGCTTTCTGAGAAACATTTTCGAATTTATAGGGACACCCAAGATCGACAGAGAAGATGTATGCTACTTAAATAATATTTTTTTATCAAGTGAAGTTTTTGCGGGCGGCCATGAAGAAGTGCATTCAAAAGCCAACATCCTGGCGTGTCTAGAATAGCACGGGATTATTCCACACGATAATTAATATTACCACCCCACTTAAGTAATACGGAATAATCAAAAAGCATTCTAGGATTTCGGTCAACATTTCGTGACATCGGTCACTGACTGACGAGCGAGTTCCGTAAAAACGACAGATGAGCGCCCCTCTGTCAGTGTATATTCCCGATCGCAACCGGCAGGACAACGAGCCCGTGACTCAGTAGTTAGAGGTGTTGGACTTCTAACAAATAGGTAGCGAGATCGAGCACCAGGGTACAGTATGACAGGATGAAGATGGTTAATAAGCCAGAAATGGTCATTCTGGTCTCCTTTGTCTTTGTCGGTAATACCATTCTGTATACATATATATATATATGTCCTCGAAGTGCGTTTGTCGATAGGGTTACGGGACTTATTCGTCCTATTGGGCCTTGCAGCTCAATGCAGAGCGCTCGCAGGCAGTCGCATAGCTAAAAGAGGGCTCAACAAAGGCAAGGGAGATTTCTGTGATCACTTCCAACTGTTAGGCGTCGTCACTCAGCCTTACTCAGCCCCAGGTTTGGGGCCCATGGCGCTCGAATGCGGTTTCTTTTGGTTATCAAGCGTTAGTAAGGCCAACGCTCTAACAACTGAGCCACGGGCCCTTTGTCCTGTCGGTCATGATCGGGAATATTAACTACGCTGGAAATGCGTCCAGTGATCGGGTTACGGGGCTTACTCGTCCAGTCGCATAGCGACTGGGAATATATTCTGAAATCAGACTCGAAAAGGCCAAGAAGGACGTGGGTGGTTGGATAACCGAAAATGTCCAATGGAAACAAAAGGATGGCATTAGCGGCCCAATCCCATCATGTGTCCCCTCACCAGCACATACATCATATACGAACACGTTCCTCATCACCCACCACAAGCAAAGAATCGGCTCCTCTCACAGAAGCAGGAATCGTGCCCTTCTGCTCCTCCACGTTGCCCATCTGCTAATCTAACACATGTGAGATCCGTACCCGTTATCCAGCGTGTTAAATGCTGGGGTGTTGTGGAGGCGGGCAGATCGTGTGTGTCGCATATGCAGACGGGCTGTTTTTAGTTCTGTTAGTAACTGCGCTCAATCTCAGCATCGGTTGGTTACTGCCTTGGAAAATCAACTGGTGCACGGCAGGAGGACGAGAGGTCGACGCGCAGCGCAAATTCCTCACGAGAAACAGTCAGTACTACGAGTGGTATGAAATCCATATGGTAAAGGTATTATACCGTCCTGCCGACATAGATACTTGCTAAAAGCCCACACACATGTTACCATATGAATTTGATACTACTCGTAGTATTACTTGTTTGTAGAATGGGCATTACGTGGTTATTCCACAGTAGTTGATTGTCTTCGACTTGAATGTTCATTGAAATTTCGGTTCTGACCCTAAAAAGTCATGTCCCGGAGATCTAACTCCAAGTCCTGCACTGAGTAATTTCTGAAATTATTCACTTGATTATTCTCTGGAATTAATATTATTAGAAACCGCTAGAGAATGCTGGGGGTCCCACTGAAGAGCCAAACCCCTCGCAGCTGTGTCACGCAGCGGCAGAATATCGGCGAAACACGTGTCTGGGCTTTTAGCAAGTATCTATGTCGGAAGTACGGTATAATACCTTTAATATATATGCATATATACAATGGTGAAAATGCGGGCCCTAGGCGACATTTAAAAAGGAAAGGAGACGTTCACCAGGAGATTTTTATTGTAGGTCCGACGTTTCCATTAGTTATTCCATCTACCCGTCTTCAGAGACTGTAGAGTCTTGCGCACATCTCTCACTATATGATGCATTTTTTCCTGATGCGTAGGTCGACAATGCCAACTGTTGGACTGCATTTGACCCCCGTTTCACCGTTAACTGTCTCCCCACCCTCGTAAACGACGGCAATGATTGACGGTCGAGACTGTTGCTCGCCGTCGTTGTCTCCTGTCAAGAAAGATTGTGAAACCGAATAGGGGACGGCGAATTGATGTAGCGGTTGGCTGAGCGGCCGGTGGACATCCGAGATAGTCATTCTACCTGCCGATAAAGACCGGTCAACCGTTGTCCTCGACAAGGTGGATTATCGAAACAAAGTCCTTACGCGTCCTACAAAATCAGCGACGCAGCCAGTCCTAAGTCACTACTGGCGAAGCCAAACAGGACACTGGCACGAATGAAGACGGATAAGTTCACCACCACCAATGACTGGTGTATGGCGAAACCAACAGAAGCAGCTATGGCTCGACTCTACGGCCTCCCAACAGTACGTGGACCCGAGGCTCTCCTCCGGCCAATCATCTCGCTTCGAGAAACAGTTACATACGTGTTTGCAAACTGGTTATTTCAGAAACTGCGGTTCCTAACCACGGGCTCACAAACAACGCAGCACTCAGCAGAACAGTTGCTTGACAAAACAAAGGCAGTCATAACCGGACTGAATGAGAGGATGGTGTCATTCGATGTCCATCCACTGTTCACGTCCATACCACAGGTCCTCGTGGCTGAAACAGTAGTCAAACATACGATGAGAGCGATGATTAGCCCACAGCTCAGGGCCCCAAAGAGCTCGTGGAGCACTGCCTGAAGACATCCTTTGCCTACGAAGAAATCACACATGGGCAAATTAAGGGCATCCCAATGGGTTCGCAAATCTCTGGGCTCACTGCCGAGACGGTTCTGCAAAAACTGGTGGGGCGACTGTTCGAGGGGTACAGACCGGGGTTTTAGCACTCTATGTTGGCGACACCTTCGTCATCATCGACCAGGACAGGACTAATTACTACAAAGGACGACTGAACTCCATCATTCCTGATATACAGTTCACAATGGAAGAGGAGGTGGAGGACAGACTCCTGTTACTGGATGATATCGTCTGCCGCCAATCAGAAGGCAAGTTGATGAGACAGCCTACAGAAAAGCCATGAACACGCTGCAAGTGCTAAGTCTAAATAACAACTAGCTGCAACACAAATGAGGCTGCGTACGCACGCTGGCCGCCAAACAGGACAAGTTGAATCTTCTTCGAGAGTTCTTCACAGTATGCGGTTATCCGCGAGCATTCTTTGAGGAGTCGACTACCAAAAAAGGAGCGGAACGAAGAGTGTGGTCAGCCGAAATCATGGGGGGGAGGGACATTCCGTACACAAACGGAGTCGTCGAGACAGTTGCTAGGTCCTTCGCGTCTCTCGTAATTGGAGTTACTCGCAGGCCTGACTGAACTCCACTGGCCACTCAGTCAACCGCCGCATCAATTTCAGCCCCCCCATCTGGTTTTACGATCTTTCTTGACAGGAGACAACGACGGCGTGCAACAGTCGCGACTACCAATCATCGTCGCAGTGAACAAGGACGGAGGAAACACAGCTAACGATGAAACGGGAGGTCAGATGCAGCTTAACAGTCGGCATTAGTGGCCTACGCATCAAGAAAAGTGCGCCACATAATGTGGGCTGTGCGCAAGACGCTCGGGTCTCCAAAGACAGGTAGGCGGATTAAGGTCTGAAGACGTCAGACAGTAATAAGCCTCTCCCAGTGAACGCCTCTTCTCCGTTTGATATACATGCATATATATATATATATGGGGAGAATGGCATTACCGACAAAGACAATGGACACTGGAACGGCCATTTCTGGCACATTGGCAGTCGTCGGCCAATTATACCTAACCCCGAAGCGTGGAACGCCTGGGGATCGATCCCGCGACCTGTTGGTTAGAAGCCAAACACATCTAACCGCTGAGCCACGGGGGCGTTGTCCTGTCGCTTGCGATCGGGAATATACAATGGTAGAGGGACGCTCACCGATCGTGTCACGGAACTCACTCGTCCCGCGTTGTGCCTTGGGGCTCTCTCTCGAGCCCAACCAGACGAGGGGGGGCTGGAATGGCCATTTCTGGCTCATTTGGCGTCATCAACCAGCCAAATAAACCCCAGGTTTTGCAACTCCTACGGCTCGACTTCGCGACCTGTTGCCTAGTTGTCCGACGGCGATCAGTGAGCGTCCCTCTACCACTGTATATGTCCGATCGCAATTGACAGGACAAAGAGCCTAGTTGTCCGATGACGATCAGTGAGCGTCCCTCTACCACTGTATATGTCCGATCGCAATTGGCAGGACAAAGAGCCCGTGACCCGTTAGAAAACCACTGCGGCGGTGTCCACTCGATCTAAAATAGCGCATTAAGGATTACATCGAGAACAGACCTTCAAACTGTTAAGCCCCTCCGCAGGGGGCGAGCGATGAAACGAGTTATCAGGACTGTGGGTCAGAGCGGAGGCATGCAAAGCGAAGTTGCAGGTCTGTATGTCTAAACGACGGCAAAGACAGAACAGGCCCCCACGGCGCGCGACCAACCCCCCCAGCCGGGGTGTGTGTGCGTGGCTCTGCGAGCGTCTTACGTCTCAAGGGCGCGAGAAAAAAAAACGCAGGCGACGCCCGGCACACACCACGTGACTGATGGCGGCGGTGGCGGCTGCTGTAGCCTGCCCTCGGCAGACACCGTGTGCGCGCGCGCGCAAAACAGCTGTTTTAAGGTCGCTGCAAGGGCGCGCCGTAGGGTGGGAAAAAAACTCGGACAGTGCACAGCGGTGCAAAGCAGGCGATTCAAATGCTGCCATTGCCGCTAGGAAAGAATTCTGGACGGTTGACAGATAAGAAACCGGGCAATGACTCTCGGTTGAACAGGTAAAGCTGGCAGTGCGTTCGGAAACGGGAGAGAGAGAGCGAGTGTGAGGGAGAGGGGGAGACAGAGAGGGGGGGGAGAGAGAGGGAGAGAGAGAGCAGCGGTACAGCGGGGTTGCATAATTAAGCTCTGTAGAGCCTCAGTTCTGAGGCCTCAGTAGCATACAGACGTCGTGTAGTCTGCAAATTCGCCGGCCTTATAGTCGGGATAATAACTGGCAAACACGTTTTCCCCCGAAAGCCAGCATCAAAACGGTCACCTGTTCTCGACGGAAATCGCAAAACATGAGCAAGACAGTCCCTCGGTGCGATTGACTTTAAGTCTTGGCAGAATATGCTACTTGAAGAAAACAAAAGAATCACCATGCTGTATAGGGCTGCAACCCAGGCTGCATGCAGGGTGCCTAGGAAGAGCTCTGGCGCATCTTTTTTCCGCCTTTGTTCGGTAGGATTAAACATGAAGGATTAGTCGACGCCATTTAAGTAGCCCAGGAAACCAAATGCGTTGAAATGCAAAACTACCTAGATCGAGTCCACAGCCCCAAGTTACGGCAGTTGTCCTGGAGTAAGTTCACCCATGACGGGAAGAGACATAAGCAGGCAAAGTAAATCCCCAGCCTAGAAACTTGAAGCAAAGGCGGTTTTGCAAAGGCTGAACCATGGTGACCGCGCAGTTTTCCCTCCACTACAGCTAGGCGTCCTTCACAGTGCATTTGGACTACGTCAGGGTGTCAAAGATATTAACACGTAGAGACGCGTTTCGGCACTACAAAGGAACAGAGGTGACCGAAGTGTGCCATTGGAACACCTTGTGCTTATTTACTGTTTAATTGAAATCAGTTTACTTGAGAATTTGACCAAAGAAAGACATCAGAACCAAACCACAGCTCGTTGCTCTTCCTGATCAGCAAAACAGAATAGGGGTTACAAGTTCGCTCAAAAGAACATGGCTTACACTTACCAAAGTTGATGTGCCTAACTACACTCTTTTTCGCTAGGCTCTTTGTTATTAACTCGTCCAATTCATTCTCGCATTTTCGGGGGCTATTTTGAGTAAATTCCGGGAATTGTCACCACTACAGGGAATTCACAGGCCAAAGACAAAATAACAGGTAACAGTCATCGACGGCAGAGTGTGACGCACCTGTGATTTGCTTAAGGGAGTCGACGGCACTTTAGCGGAGACCCAGGATGGGAATAGCGTAAACGAGTGTAGGCAGAAATGGCCTGTATCCCTCCCTACCTACCGCTGACAGCTTCGAATCTCGCTGGTCGCTCGTATCCTCTCCACTGTCAGCACACCTCGACAACCCTCTCCTGCAGTTAACGCTAGCGCTCCACTTCCCATCGGTAGTTTACCGGACATTTCGGGACTACCTGGCACTCCAGGTGGACCAATTGTATATATAACTCCATTATCCTTAGTGGTGCAGCATCCTCTTTATGACTTGACCTACTTACTTTTTGTTACATAGATTTTATACGCTCCAAACGGTTTTACTACTGGAGTCCACAGTTCAACAGTCGTTGTCGACGACGCTCACAGGGTGCTCCACAGCAAGATGAGGGCGGGCATGAGGACTTACATGCGAATTAGTCTATAGTGGGGGCGGACTTGCATTGCGTCTACCGCACTCTCTCCTACGCCACCTGGACCCGGTGTCAGTACATAGTCAAGAAGACCGGATGTGGGAGAAGGCGCAGACAACTGGCACGGCTAGGCCTGCACTTAGGCATACCACCACACTCTTCTTACTATATACGCATACATGCGTATTTGGAATGATGCTTAATGACTCTGTTCAGCGTTTCCGTAGCCGGAAAAGTATCCCGAGCCCTGTGTGTCGTTCTTAACGTTGTCGGCCGCTAGGAGAGATTATGGACGTCTGTAGTTAGGTGCGAATTCACTGCGTGATTGGTACGCGCGCAGAACCAATGAATGTGATCGACTAATCCCAACACGGAACCCTGATTGGGCTTTCCTCAGAACAAACTAGCAAAAATGAAATTATGGGTACTAATATCAGTAGCACGTCGGGATGTGGCAGAGTGGAGCCACGTAGTTTAAAAATAAATAATTTAATAGGAAAAATGCTGGCAAAAAAGCGGCTAGTAGGCAAAAGTAGGGAATTCAGGTTGACTGGAAATGACCTCCGATTGCCAGGAGAAAAACTTAATTTCCACTATCGATAAGGTCCTACTGGTGCTAAGAAGCCTTAATCCATGCCACTAGAACATCTCAGAAGAGAGGTGGAATAAATAGAATGGTGTGATTTCTAATACCGCAGTGGTGCTTTTTTGCTAACTTTCTAAAACAAGAGTCCAAACGGCGAAGAGTTTACGAAAAAGTGAAGAAGAGCGTTTTACTGAGGTGACAGTCTACAACACGCGTCACTTTGGGAAAAGGAAAATCTACGGCATTAAGAGGAAGCCAAAGACGCTTACGGTCGAAGAGGACTTCCGAACACTACAAGTAGAAGAGTAGACAAATTGCTGCCATAGCTTGTGTTTCCTAAATCCAGATGCATAAAATTAACGGAAGTTGATGAGGTGAAGATACTCTTAGGCATATAAAGCAGATTCCGCTGAATGTCCAGTTTGCATAAAAACTGATGAGCAACTTGTAGCTTTTTTCTCAGAACGTAGTCAACTCGGTCAGAAGTGAAACCTTGCGGCAGTCACAAACAAATCAAAGAAAGCTATAAACGTTCATTTTTGGCTGTACGTATAAAATGGTGGCAGGAAGTGTGAAGGAAGTCAAAGGTGACCGTATTCTTGCATGGTAAATTATTGCACACAAAACTACAAAACTAAAATTATAATAAAAAGCAAATGTGAAATGAGTTAAAGGCCTTCAAAGGCTCCAAAAATAGCAAACCTAATTGCTTCTGGCAAGCATGGAAGATGTGAGGAGATTTTCCTTAAAATGCGCACACAGTGGCAAGGCGTTTCAAGGGAAACAATAGGCAAAATCGGCTTCAAAAACACTGAGGTAAACCAGCTAGAATGAGACCTCAAGCTGGCTCATCCATTAAATTAGTGATCATGCATCTCCACAGAAATGAAGAGAGGGATTATTGTCAGACTACTCATTTGTTTATTCGTCGTCGGAAAACAGCTAATGACATCGGTTAGTTCTCGTTCCTTGGCCGGTTTTGCACCCTACCATAGTATAAGCATGTCTTTATATCTCGACAACGAGGCAGTGGTGGCGGGTGAACCCCGTCCGACGCCCGAATACTTCCTTAATGTCGTGAACTTGCCAGTTCAATCGCCAGCCGCGTTGCAAATTCATGGGCACTGAGCTCTTGGGCTCCTATCTTACCGGCTACATGGGCTACCCCCTGTCGGAAATCTGGCCAAGCTAGTGAGATAGGATCTAGGTACTAACACTAAGGCTATCGTCACCAATATTTGCACTATGGGGAACGCGAACAGGTTCTAGGGCGGAGGGGGACTTGCGAGAAGTTTTGTACAAGGTCATGCGGATCACCAATTAATGAAAAAGAAACTACTCTTTAAGTTTAATGTAAAAATATGACGACCTGATACTCATCTACATGAGCGAATCATACCGTGAAATAGGTGGAACTCAGCGAACTTTACTGCATTAAAAATCTGCAAAGAACCAGCTGTTAGTAATGAACTGTATACGCTATAGGGTGCTGAAGTAAGTACACAGAAATCAAAAAAATAAAAGCCCTACTGGTCGGAGAACACTTGTGGTAGGACGACAGAAACAAAACACTGCCGAAATGGAATAAGTTAGAGACAAGACAATGGCAAGACTAAGGCCTTTCGTCTACTTAGTCAAAAAATGTGAGAGAAGGTAGTCGATCGGGTGTCTGCTTTCGGTTGGCGACGAAACTTACTGTCTTTTGTATCGCTTAGGACAGACTTGAGAAAACTCCAAGCAATCACTTACAACAGAAAAAGGGTACTTGAAGAGGTCGATAAGACCCGCACTGGCTTACCCAGGCAAATAGGAGAGCAGAGTAAGAATTCGCTGCCAAGGGACGTAGGTGGAGTTAAGAACCAGCGTAGTCAGCTGGGGAGAAATAAACTGATCGCTGGGAGAGGAGCTCATGAGGAAGTCAGCCAAACCAATCTCACCAACGTCCATGGGGGCGGTCTCGGCCTCCCTTGCTGCGTTTTCCTCATTGAATGATAGCTCATTTAGAAGGCTAACGTCTTGATGGTAGCACAGGATTGGATCTGTTGCTGGCGAACTGCTACAGCTGCCTTGATCATAGGATTGGCTATCCAAAACTGTGTACGCTGGTTCGCAAAACAAAGCAGCCGCATGTAGGGGGTTGTAGCTTAAGTTCAGGATTTGCAACCGGGGCGAGGACTCCAACACGGTAAATACCTGAAGAGAAATGACAGCTCTTGGAGGTGACTTTATGCTAGGACGAACGGGTTTGGCAGAATCCTTCCACTTACACACGGCTTTCAAGCTATGTCGGAATAAAGAGAAAAAACACTGACACTTTAAGGAAGACCGAACAATGTATCTAGATATGGCAGGTTGTTCTGGCAGCGTAATTTGAAGACAGTAAAGATGTTGAGAGGCGGTGAGGATAGTTTTGGGAGCAATCACCACCAACACATTTCAAACTCGCAGAGGTAATGAATGACAGGCCGTAGGGAGCAACGGAAATGCAGTCCTTTGTGTAAAAGTCCTTAATAATTTAAAATACTTTCCAAAAACAAAGCAGGATTTCTTAGAGAGAACTTCAAGTAGATTAAATAAACACGCTGCGCATCATGTAAAATGGTAAGAAGGGGATTAAAAAATGAATGCAGCGGGTTTTCAGGAATATAAAATGGCGAATCAGGAGTGACGAGGAAGTGTGGATGAGGACTAGTAGGGTCCACTATAAGTTTAAAATTAGTGTAAGGACGTAACATGTACAACCTCAGACGTAAAGTCGTAGAAAGGATTATTTCAGGGGAAAACTGGTAGTGAGGTTTAAAAATACGGAAAAACTGTAGTCGGAAGATGCAGTTTTGTCCACTAGGATATACTAGCCTGCGGGTTATGCGGACGAAGGAAACTGACCAATTGAATTAATTGAGTATATCACAGATCAAATTCTAGTTCAAAGCGCTCCACTCTAGGGGATACCTGAAAAGTCGGCTCACACTCATGGTAAATTGCGGAAGCGGTACCGTCTCATAGTAATTAATATACAAACCTCAAAGGTAACAATCGCAATGAGCTTTGTATGTCAGCACATAGTTAGTGCACATTCCGATCAAAGGCATCTATTGGTTTTGTAATATTTTCAGGAGGCTAACAATACAAGATTAAAGCGGCGATGAGGATGCGAGTCAGACGAAAATAATTCTTATTTACGTGATGCGACGACATTGCATGTGAGTTTTAGACAATTCGAAAGACAAGAATAAAACATCAAGTTTGAAAGGAGCGAAATTCAGTAACTGATGGAGTAAAAAGAAGGGAGCATTTACTCAAAAAAGTAGTTTGAAGAGAAAATATTTAAGTCAAGTGTGCATGTGCTGTCATTAACGATTATTACCTCTGACCACGATTTAATCTTGTTTGAGGACAAATCCAGTTCTTGTAAGTTGTCGAAGACCCATCGTAGGGGCTCGATGTCACCAACAGTGACAATGTTTTGGTTGTCCATAGCAATTACGTGAGTCGATATTAAACGTACGCCACCTAAGTAAAAAGTATGATATGGCGGACAGGGCCTAACCAGCTCGCGAGGCTCTCTTAATTTTACATTCTGCAGCTATTTCGTCTGCATTCATTGCGTTGAATTTGTTCTGCATGGCCTCTACGAGATTCGCCATGACTTGCGCAACCGAAAAAGATCATATGACGCGCTGTTTCTCGTGATCGGTAACCTTGTCGAGCGGTAAATATTTAGTCAGTACCGCATCTTCAAACAAGGATGTAAACCGAATAAAGGCTGGTTCACTCATTATGCAGGAAGGTTCTGCTGACCCGTGATCATAAAAACCGATTATTTAAGCTTGCTGTCAACTTCTTCGGAAAAACCAACCGTAAATGAGCAAACGCCTACTAGGTACCACACCCAAGTTCAACTCGTTGAAGATATGAAATACTCAATTTTTCTATTCCATGCACTAGCAGGTATCTTGGTTTGGACGGCCTGTACGCAAAAATTAATACTGAGGAAAGTGTATATGTTGTAGACCGCTCATGAATTTAATGCTCATGCTGATACCGTGGTTCATGTGACACAATTTCGATGCTTTACACAAGAAGTAAGATTACTCTGAAATCAACGGATTCTTTGACGGTAGTGTAACTTTCCGATGAAGTCTGAGTACGCTTTAAGTGATTTGGACGCCAATTCTACGTGCACCAGACATAAGCGGAGATCTTGACCGTTACGCGACTGGATGACAAAAGGGCTACAACTAAGATGGGTGACCGAAGAGCATTACCCTAGATGGATACCTCTGAGCCACGACGGTAAGCAGGATGGAATTATGGTGTAGAGTGCCTTGAACTGCCAAAGGCATTGCGTCACAGAATGTAGCAGACTCCCTATTTCAGTTTAAGTGCACAGGGCCTGCCCAATCTTTTGTGTAGACACTTACTGAGATTTGATTCAGTGGCTGATGTGCTAGTCACACATGTTTACGCAATGTTGAGCAGCACACGCAGACCCACTACCTCCCAACTAACACTTGTCGCTAGTTGATAAAGATCTCCTTTTGGTTTAGCACAATATGTGCGCAGAAATATCATAATCTTTACCTAGAGGAAAGACGGGAAATTTTTTAACAGGCTCTTTTATGGCAGGCGGAACAGCGTCCGGATCTCATATGAAAATGTGTGGTATCGTTGCGCAATAACTTTAAAAGTGCGGTTGAAACCTCTCAAACTTCAAATGAGCACGAGCTCAACGATGAGGATCCTCGGAGCACATTATTGACAATTGAAGTGGATTATCTGAAATATTAATTCTGAGCTGCAGATGTCAATGACTAATCGGACGTCTGATTTTTATGGAAGTAAAGTCGAGGCCCCTGGGTGAAGGACCTTTCAAAAATACCCGCGTACTAGTCTGAGACTCCATCTAAATGGCCTTTTATGAAATGGCTATTTCGTCTTGGAAGCAAATCAGATTACTAGCTTCTCCACGTCGACCGACAAATTAACGGTTGCTAGATCAATAAGCTGGTCAACTTGTTGATCTAGCGCTGGCATGATTTTTTATAATGACATCAGATAAGTCTAAAATCTACCTTCGCTGACGCCTCCTCTCGCGTTCTTTTTAGTAAAATAAAAAGGTTGCGAAAGCAACCGGAAGAGCCATTCACCACTTTATCGGTCCAGTTAGTAACTTGAACATATTTTCAATTAGCCTCGAAGACGCTGTTAACACAATACAGACAAAGGCAATTACGCATACCCAAAGATCCACCACACATATAATCTCCCATATATTCTTCTTTAAGGGTTTTCATTCAATATTATTTTTGCCAAATGCAGCCAATCTTAATCTTTAGCGCCTTATTAAACAGGATATTGTTTGGTCCATAATTTGTCAATCATTTTACCTCTGAGTTCGAACTCACTTATTTTTTTCAGTCACGCAAAATATTTTCTAATACTATTAACCTTTCAACCGAAGTCATTAGGAAGCAAACTGGCATTTAATGCGACTGTCGCGTCTAGGGAACGAATTATCCTTCAAATTCATGACCAAAATGCATACAAATTCCTCTGGTTATATGGCCATTTTTTCGGCCTCTCGGAAGATTTCTCACTGAAACGCAAAAACACTCCCCTGCCAGCACATGGCCCCCTCAGTATGTGAGTGTATAAAAGGGGGACTATTTGAGTTGTAGTCTCTTCACTATTTATCACGGTTCATGAACACTGCGAAGCAATATACCACGGACATGCGGGCACTTTTCCGCCTAAAAACTTATTGGACGTGGACACAAGGACTTTGAAGCCCTCCGGTAGGACTGTTTTTAATCTTTTTGACATTTAATTAGGAAAAGGTGGACTACCTGGCGGAGTAGACTTCTGAACTTCTGAGCGACGCGGCGCAAGTAAAAGCAGCAATTTCAGAGATTTTGAAGGCAGTGCAAAACACAGGTCTGTCTGCCATAGCTACACAGTCACTACCCTATCTGCCCCTGGGTATCAGCGAAGACTATGACAACGTTTGTCGGCTTAACTCGGATGCCGGTTCTTCTCAGGAGGTAGCGTGGACATGTTTACTACCAAATGTCTTTTTACCGATTAAAGATAAAACGGCTGGAAGTCATTGGAGTGCGAAACGAGAAGGGATTTGTTAGTAATCCCCTGACTGCTCTGCTAGGTCAGCCGCCATGCCTTAGCTTCTACTGGGGTGGATCAATGCAAAAATGGAGCCTTGTCGGCTGCCATCTTGATGGTGTCCCCCTTGCTACGTCAAATTCTCTCACTAACTTATTTAACTGCAATTTGAGAGAGCGCAACCTTCGGTCAATGCCCTTCTGAGGCACTTCGCAACTCTGCGATTGACTGGTCCCATTGGGAGAGGGGTTGGTGTGGTTGCAGAGTCAAACAGAGAGATACCACCGATAAGGTGAAAATCAACAAAAGTGTTTGCACAGGAGTAAGCGTCCGTTTGCCTTGGCCTTTTTGCACTTTGATTTCTTTGTCTCTTCAGTTTTTGGGTTTCATTTCTGACTGTTATTATCTCGCTTTTTAGCTATTCGTTCTGGGGTTGCCGTAATAGGTGCCGGCGTACCCATGATGCTGGTAGCTTTTGCCGTACTTCTGGTTACTTGTCCAGTAGGCATAATGGTTGGGCTAGTTTGGTCGAATCTGCACCGCAACTGGGCTTCCGTCTGTGTGATTTTTTTCTCAATATAGTTACATTGACGGCCAGAATCTGACATCCACTGCAACTTTGGCCTTCATTTTCTGTGTCTATGCAGCCAATGGACGTCACTAACTAATGGCTTTCTTTTACTGTAAGAACCAGTTACGGATGACGGCTGTCATGCTTACCATGCATCATGAAAATCCACACAGGCCAATATTTTTAAATGCGCACACTTTTTTCTCAAAGGTTTGCTTTAATAAAGTGTACATAACCATCAGTTTGCGCGCTAATGTTATGTCGTAGAGGTTGGTACGCGACAGGACTTCTACGGTTGGGCTATTTGCAGCAGTTTGGGGCTTCGAAGTGCCACGAATCAGTCTGATATGGAAATACTTGGGGGGACGGGGAAGTCGATATCGTAAAAGGGGGCCAGACATATACGATGGAGATGCAGCGTCCACCTATGCATTTTATTCGGCGAGGGCAGGTGAAGGGGGCAACACCGGGATTTGCCCCGCCATAGCGCCGTGGTATATCTAATCTGGCCCCGCCACAGCCCCGTAAGAGCCCACTGAGAGATGAGGCGGTGGGGTGGCGAGACGGGGCTGGTGCTAGTGCTTACTATCGCATGTTGCATGAAACGCTCTTTCTCGCCATAATGCTTAAAAAGATTATCTTCAGGTATTGCTCGATTTTCGCTTGATTCATTATCTTCTTAGCTCCACACGGAATGCCTTTACCCGTAGGGATTGCGAAATTTGCCGCATCAATTCTCTTCTGTATGAACCATAGTCAAAAGTTGGCATGCAGTTCGAGCTTAGTAAAGCCTGCGCGAATTACCACATGGATATTCTTTTAGTGTAACGACAATCTCAAGGCACCCATTGCGTCCACGATTTCAACTATTTACTGAATCAAAACTGGAGTGCATTAAGTTTGGGTTTTAGGACCGGTACGTCTCTATCAGGACAATAGTTATAGTTCGTCAAATATTTAACTTGAGTAAACGCCGATTTATGCTGATAGGTATAAACGGGTACTATTTTGAGGGCGCCAACGACGTCCGCATTGAAAACACTGCCTTCAATCCTTATCTACTCTCAGAATGGGAATTTAATTGACAGACGGTATTTTTTCCATTTAAGTGGGCTGCTATGTTTTAACTCTACAAAGCCTGTCAGCTCATAAATCTCCCAGAAATTTCAGTTTTAGAATGCCGCACGCCACTTGGGTCCGAGTTGCGCACGGAACGTAATCCTACCAAGTCTGCCAACAGGTGGTTTTGGGTCCCGCATTCTTTTTATTCAAAAAACGGAGCCATGATTTAACTACGCAGTTGTCTTTCCAATTTTAAGATAATATTATCTAAGTCGAGTATCACTACCGGCCTCAGCAAAATCAACAGGAGATCAGAGGGCTTTCACTCTTATTTTTTTCTTCAATACTAATTCCAGTGATTTCTTAGGAGGAAAGTGCCTGTTGTCTAACTATAATTATTTTAAGTTGGGAGGGTTATGGCTGACCTGTGGTTCTCAGTTTATATAAGTATTAGTGCTAATCTACCTCATATTAATTCACGCATCAGAACGGAACAAATTTACTTCGCGAATAACTCCTCGCTCAATAGTCTACGGTCTCTTTTTTCCATCTCCATCTGAATCTTTGTTTGCTTCTAGGTATACTTTCCCTGGAAATGACCTTTCACTTGAAATCAAATCCCCGCCCAACTTATCGTTATTCAAAATAAAGTTGTTTGGGTATTTTAACTTGGACTTTACTACTACTTTATTGGCGATTTCTTTCCAAAGCATTAACATTTGAGACGTTAGACTTCTTTCCACGGTCCATTTTTGTTAAGGGTTCGTTTTTTCATGCCCCACACTTTCGCCAACAAACTCTTATTAGCATAACGATTCTCCACGTTGATTAGTAATTAGATGTACGGAGGATGCATTCTATTACGATGGTCCTTGCACCCCTAGAGTTCCGCTC